CACTCATGTTAAGCACTTTCTGGCTTCACTTAATATTCACAACCCAAGAGGGAGGTGGTATTGTTGTTCATTTTACAGAAGAGGAAACTAAGGAACAGAGAACACAGCCACCACCAATCTTCAGCAACCACATTAGAAGATGCTGCTTCTGCTAGGTGGAACCAACCCTTGAAGGGGTGTGTGGCTTGATAAGCAGAACATCTGCTGATTTCAGCTCTTATTGTCCCTGGTACAAGGGTTATTTGGAGCCCGGAAGCTGTGCAAGTTTAAATTACTTGTCTGGTTTTGCTAGTAAATACTCAAACTGAGAGTTGAACCAAAATCTGTCTTTCTTCCCCTAAAACAAATACTTACACAACTTGCCATTTTAAATTGTATCCTAAATTGATTTATCTAGAATAGGAGTAAGCAAACTTTTCCTATAATAGGCCAGAGAGTAAATATTTCAGGCATTGAGAGCTATCTGGCCTCTGTGACAATTACTGAGCTCTGTCATTACAATGCAAAAGGAGCCTTAGACATTAGATAAACAGCTGTGCTGTGTTCAAAAAAGCTGTGTACACTGAAACTTGAATTTCATGTAACATATTCTTCCTTTGATTTTTTTCAGTTATGTAACATTATAAAAACAAAACATTCTTAATTTGTGGGGGGTTCTAATAAAATAGATAAGCTTAACTTAACCCTGGGCCAGACTTAACTAACTCCTATATAGACTAGTTCAAAAACATCCAATAAAGGAAATCATCACCTATTCCATGACCACTTCTTTTTTCCCTAACTCTAAATTCCTGGTAAAAAAAATTACAGAAACTAATTTCCCCTTTTTGGTGCCTGTTTTATTCTAATGTGGTTACTGTGATTAGTTATTTTCTAGATAGATTATAATATATTATTCATGAAACTTGAGATGTTCCTTTTTCCTGTAGTTATTTTGCTGATATAGTAGTGATCCTGATTTGTTTTTATACTTCTGTGATTCTCTTAGCTAGAATTTAAGTTATATTGGAAAAGTAAAGTTTTTAATTATTTATTATTACTTGTTTTTAGTGGAGAAAAGGAAATGAGATGTAGATGAAGCTCAAAAAATTGTGTTTGGATTACTAGAAAATAGATTTCTTCTACCCTAACATCAAACTTGAGGGTCTGGTACATCCCAAGATAACCCTTGAAAGATTTCAGCTTCATACCTTGACTTTCCTACCCAAGTCTTTTTAGACACCTAAAAATACCACTTGCTTAGAACTCTTTATTTAGGAAGAATTGATGCAACAAATGGCCAAATTGCAAAAACTGGAAGCTCGTCTATCTATCAAATGACCATTAATTTAATACACATCTAATTCTCTCTGTAATTAATTACCACCATTCAGACATTTGTCTGGCTTCTTCTTCAGTCTTTTCAGGTATCACTCAGTTCCCTGTAACTCTGTACTCTAGCCACAGAGGTCTTTCTCTTTCTCTCTCTCTTTTTTTTCAGTACTGGGGCTTGAACTCAGGGCCTTCACCTTGAGCCACTCCACCAGCCCTATTTTTGTGAAAGTTTTTTGAGATGAGGGTCCCATGAACTATTTCCCCGGGTTGGGTTTGAACCACCATCCTCCTGATCTCTGCATCCTGAGTAGCCACAGGTGCCTGGCTCTTTCTTTCTTTCTTTTTTTTTTTAAACAAGGGCCACTAATTCTGTCTACATTTTCCCCTACTCCTTTTTACACTTCCCCAAGAACTTTTTATCAGGACCCTAGACTTGCTTAGTTTCCAGTTTTACATTTCTGTTGTATCCCCTTCCATACTCTTCACACTTGAAATTATTTGTTCAAGGTTTATCTCTTAACCTGTGTTCTATGTGAAGACTTGCCCAATATTGTAGCCACGAGACTCATTTAATGGCTAATATGTAGTAATGAGGCTCATCATATATTTTTTGGAAGAGTGAAAAAGTGTTTTCAGCTTCTTTTTGTGTATACTTATTCCATTTAGTCCAACAAAAATGACTTTTACATGTTGAATATTTATTAGGATTCGTTTGACCTGAGGTCTATTTAAAGAGATGCAGGCCTGAGTTAAAAGTGAGAAGCTTCTAGCTTCTGTTTATGACATAGATCTAGGTATAATTTTATCTTGTTTCAATCTCTGCTGGCTCTTAAATCTGGAGTTTTCAGCATGGTATCTGCTAGGGCCTGAAGTTTATGTGCTTGACTTTCCCTTAATTTGTTTATGAAGTTATGTGGACAATGAAGTGATTTCCCTTTGTGACTTTCTATTCTCTAGTAATGACTGGGACAATGAAAACAAAGGAAACGGGAAAGCCTGATCTTGTATCCAGTTAAGGAGCTAATGTCTGGGATGGGTGCAGCCAGGGACTGTATCTCAGACGTATATCGCAAGGGCTGGTAGCTTTAAACTGTGGGCTTCCTCTGAGCCTCTTTCCTTTACCATGCTTAAATATGGTAAAGGTTAGATATGTAGGTATTCAGAATGTGTGTATTTTAGTTTTAATATTTTTGAGACAATCTTTGGAACCAGTAAAGATGATAATATTGTCATAATAAATGTGTATTCCCCACCTGGAGGTGCATTGTATTTTGTCAGTCTTACTACTAGAACCATTTCATTTAGAAGGGAAATCAGGAATTTCAAGTACCCATCAGGACCAGCCCATCTGCTTTATATTTCAACTGTCAGCACAATTTTCTGAATTTCCTGCTCATGTCACATGCATAGAAAGAACAAACTAACCACTAAGTTTTAACAGATTCTTTGCATGTCCTTATTTGTGAACACAGGGTGATTATTCTAAGAAAAAAAGGGGAACCCAGTGTTCATAGAACTCTCTTGAAAGTTGTACTGCACAACCAAATAGTGACTATTTCCATGAGTGCTGGGCGTAGACCCTCAGTTGGGAAGCCCTGGTAGGAATGCAAATGGGAATTGCAAGTGTTCCTCAGAGTCCTAAGATTAGGATGATGCCCCCAGTGCGGCAAAAGCCCATGAGGAATAAGAAGATAGCAAAGTAGAATTCTAGCACACCTCGTGTGGTGAGGCAGGCAGTTGGATAAGGGCTGACTGTGTCAAACCTGTTGGGGGTGTGGAATTTCACTATTCAATATGGTGAGATTACTAAGTGGCATGAAATTGAGGTCCTCCTCTCGTGGCCCCTCCCCAGATAGTTTGACAGCCAAGCAGTGATTACCTGGGTGTGGGGAGTCATGCACCTGTACTGTTTAGTAAATAAGGGCAGGCACTGGTACATCTTTGCCCTCCTAGTTTAGCACTACCAATGGAAGATCATAAAGCAGTCATTATGCCTTCAAGATGCAAAAGTGACCTTGATATAGGAAATATGCCCCAAAAGGAGGATTATAGGGGCATTATCTTAATCATTGGCCCAGGATGTGAGTGTTTTGGAGTTTTAGAATAGAATCTTTTAGCCAGGGATATTCCCTTGGTCCTGGCTCATGTTTACCTATGCTAACAGGAATGCATAATTCATTCTGTACACAGACAGTCACGGATTGGGGATATCTCCATATGACTTTGTATTTAAAGTAATATCAAGAATTTATACACTTGACAACTGTTCTCCCATAGCATACCACCATCTTCCACATATTTCCATAACATTCTCTTCCCTTTATATTGTTTGCCTAGATTTTATGCCTTATAGTATAAAATTAAGCCTATGGAGCTTGATTTGTTCATGAATACCTAGAATTCTGTGTAGATGAGGCACCTGGGGCAGTTTCCTAAGTAGCCTGATCTATGCTGTGAATTTTCTTTGACTTTAAAACCCTCACATATATTTTGTCTGAAAATTTTGGTAAAATAGTTCTCTCTCTCTCTCCTTTTCCTATTTTTCTTTACTGAATTCTTTCCCTTAAACAAACAAAAAACCCTATAAAATAGTACTACTGAGAATCCCAGAGATTGGGGTTTGGAAGAAACACTATTCCCTTGAAAACTATTTCTACCCCAAAAGTTCTAGTCATAATGTAAAAGTATTTTCACTCCTGTTGGCATTGGTGTCATTTGTAGTCTTATTTACTTGAAGTTCATTCTCTTAGTAAATAGATTTAAATGCTAGACAGGGTAAATTGATTGAATATAGCCTCTGATTTCCTAGGACTCAATGAATCATGGCAGAAGAGAGAACTAAAAATAATCACAAAGCCATAATTCATTCCATTGTAAAAGTGCTAAAGATTAAAATATAGAGAATATACATAGAGAAATATATTTATTATATAGTCCAGAAGGGCATTTTCTAGACAAGGAAGGCTTCTCAAGTGATTTAAGTTGAGGCCTATAGGAAAAATAGGTGGTTGTTAGGATGAAGAGGGTGACAAGCAGAGCCCAGAGTGGGCATGTTAAGGCTAGAGGAGCCCAGCGTCCGGAGTAAAAGGACATCAGTGCAGTTTTGTGTAGGTAGTATTGAGCCACCATCAGAGGTAATCGATTATGAAATCATAAGGTTGAATTTTTGCATTAGTATGTATATATTATTTGCCCAAAAGGTCTGTCGTGGATTTGCCATACACTTGCTGGGTTTTTTATATTCACCTTCTCTTATTTAAATATATAAAGTAAATGCTGTTCTAGCACCATAAAGTCTGGGAAAATTCTGCCTTGGGGTAATGCTGCTTGAACCAAAATATTCTTTACCTAGACACAAAAGTTCCTATGGGATCATTTGTCTAACCCCAAAGAGTGATTTTTTTCCTTACATGCTTTTAAGATATATTTGAAACAGTCTGTAGCACTTGGGAAGATTGTGGATTAATTATTGCCTTTCTTAACATAAACTGATATTATTATTTTAAATGTTACTTGAAATAGAAAGGAATTTATAGAATTTAGACAATTTAAAGGAAAAAAACTGAAATTTGATTTAACTCTGTTATGCTTTCCGAATTATTTTCTAGTGTTTTCTTAAAAAATATGCATGTGGGATTTGAATCTGAGCTTTGCTGACTGTTTTGTTTTTCTTTTGCCCACTTTAGTCCAACGGGATTGCAGCCCTCATTGCAATTTTGGTGTTATTGTTGCTCTTGGGCATCGGTTTGATGTGGTGGTTTTGGCCTCTTTGCTGCAAGGTGGTAAGTAAGAAGGATTTGCAACTCAACTGTTTTTTAATCAGTAAGATATAAAGTGAGGCCTGAAATATAAATGAATGCCATGTGGTTTGATAACAGCAAAATTTTGGTTTCCAGCTTGAGTGTTATTTTACTGCTAATATGTACAAGAAAACATGTTAATAATGTCTATTATAAAACTTCATCTAAAAAGTTCTCCAAAACTAGGTTTGAGGGAGAAGGGTTGAGAAATGTTGGGGAATTCTTTATCAAAGGTAATTTCACTCAAGTATGAGAAAAATTCAAATAAATCTGATCAAATCAAATCTAATCAAATAGTTATCAACTGAGAGCAGTTGATAATGTCACTTTGTTTTAAGTACTTACTGAATCTTTTATTCTTTGAAAGATCATCTATTTCAGAATCTTCTTTGTCTCTTGAAAATATTTGAGAAATAAGCCAAATGCAGATGTTAGGGTATCTGTTGAATAGTCACTTTTGGAATAATGATAAATGGTTTTAATTTGTGTCATTTTTCATGTTTGTGTGTAGCCTAGTGAAATAATATGGGCTTGTTTTAGTTCCCTGCTACTGATGTAACAAATTGCCACAAACATGGTAGTGTAAAGAAACAAACAAAAAATTGTTATCCAGTAGTTGAACGACCACAGCTCTGACATGGGTCTCACTGGGCTTAACTGGGATCAAAGATGTCAATAGGAATGCATCTTCTTGAAGTTCTAGGGGAGAATCCATTTCCTTGTCTTTTCCAGCTTTAAGAGGTCATCTATATTCCTTGCCTTATGGCCTCTTTTCTCCATCCTAAAAGCGAGGATTATTGTATTTCCTTGTTCATTCATCTGTAGTCACATCACTCTTTCTGAACTCAGCAGAGTTCAGATGGCTTTAAGGAACCATCAATTAGGCTGAAACCACTTGGATAATCCAGGATCATTTCCCATCTCATGGCCCTTAATCACATCTGCAAAATCCCTTTTGCCATTTCACAGTACCAGGGAAATCAGTGATGGGCATCTTTGTGGAGGTACATTCTGCCTACCATAGGGTGGTATATTAAGAAACACATTTCAAGCAATTCAATTTAGATTATTGAGATTTCAAAGAAAAGATTGTCCCAAGGAAGACTTTTTTTAAAGCATACCTACTACTTGTTTTGAAAGTGTTCCTTTTATTATAAGCACATGATATAGAACTTTATATTCTTTAATCATGGTGGTATTTTGTATGATATTACTAGCCCACCTTTCTCTCTCTCACCTTTGCTGACTGATTTCAGCTTCCTTGCCATTTCAGGCAGTGCTTTCTATCACCCCTGTACTTATTATTAATGTACTTCAGTCTGTGTTCATGAAACAACTTTACAACGCTTTATCTCAGAGCAGTTGGCCCATGGAGGAGACACAGAATTAACAGACAGTAGGAGAGACAAGAAGCATCCTGTCTCTTTGCTGACCTAATCAGTTTCTTCTACAGCAATTTATGCTCAGTTTCCTGATGTAATCTTGATTATCCTAGATATCTCTATTTTAGGGTGGCTAGCATTCTTGAGTCTCAAATTAAAAAGCAAAAAGATACTGTGAATTGTGCGCATTGTTTTTTTTTTTTTTTTAACTTAAACTTTCCGATGGTGGATTTCTTCTCTTCATTACTTTGTTGTTTCATTTACTTTTGACTGTAGGGCTCAAAAGTGTCAATGTGTATGATTGTTTTTTGAAAGACATGTGCAAAAACTGATCTCTTTGGGAGATTGTTAGACGTGCTCAAATATAGGCTTTTAATACCATTGTGGAAACTATAAAGGGAATCATTGGGTAGCAGATCTAGATCCAGTCTAACTTTGCAGTTTATAAACCATAGAGTTATCTTTATGCAAGACATAGAGCGGTCCTTTTAGTTGTGTGACAGGATGTCAGAAAGACTTCATTCTCAAAAATATATGAATGCTTATTAGTTCTGGAATTTATTTAATAGAGAGCCACCTTTATTTTTATACTTAGAAGTGTGGAATGAATAGTGGCTATTCCAAAGTATGAGTCTTTATTTATACCTAGGTGTAAGTGAAAAGTAAATGTTTTCTAAAAGAGTTTTAAAAACAGGGAGAAGGTAAAGATGAAATTCTATACTCAGCCCTCAGCAAACAGGTATCGACCATCTTTTAGGTGCCAGTTACTGTGTTAGGAACTGGGGATACAACACCACCTGTGATGTGATATGGAAATTCACATTTTAATGTGGAAACAAATAAATGTGGGCTAGTTAGTATAAATAAAGAGTCATGAATACTCAGTAGCAACATGTGTAAAGCACAGTAAGAACATCAAGGGGGTGTTTTAGGGAAACCTGGATGAGTCCATGACCCCAAACTGAGTTTTGAATGATGATTAAGATGTTGACAGTTAATGAGGGACATTTCAGAGGAAGAGAGACATGAGTTACTCTGGAGCCCTTTGGGAAGTTGCTAGGCTGAGACATGATAGTTTAGATTTCAGCAAAAAGCATATGAGGGAGGGGCTCCTGTGTCTTATAGGACATCTGAAATCATTCTAGAGTGACAAAAAGCCACTGGAGAGGAGTTTTACTTTCTGTATGGTAGTGTCAGGGTCTGGTCCTGGTGGAGATTAAGACTGTTCCAACCAAGTTCTCTCAACAGTTGAATTAGGACATTAATGACAATGCAGCTTGGATATGTCCAGAGTAACGTATTTCTAACAAAGTGTAGAGGCTAGTTTTAAGCTGGAAAGGAAATGTGCTACAGGAAACATGAGAGGTGTTATGAAAAGAGGGGGAAGGACTAGAACCTTGCGAAAAAGGATCTTGAATATTTCAAATGGTGTTGCAATACAATTGTAAGATGTTTATTTTGTCCCTTTTAGATAATGTATTTGTGTAATGCTGAAATTAGAATGTGGTTACTTAAATCATTCTTAGCAGTACTAAAATATTTGGGATCAATTTGACTTTGTCTAACATTACCAGTAATATAAATTTTTAATGAAAAATGGAATGCAGTTATTTCAACTTGTTTGAATGTATTTTAAGTCCCAGCACCAAATATTTAAATCCAATCTTTCAACAGAAGCATGGCTAAAAAGTAGAAAGTCTGCTCTCAGGCATGTTTAGAATATGTCAACCATCCACCTCTGTGGACACTGTGTGCTTAGGAGCACTTGTCAAGATGCAGAGCCTAGAAAAATGTCCTAACAGAGGCCTCAAGATTCAATCATTTCATATCGGATGTGATATGAAATATTATGAAATTATTGAATCATTCATTGTTCAGAGAGTAAAATTGCATGGATATCTAATCAATGACTCAGGGATGAAAATGTTACTTACATTTTAGACAGAGATAGGGGGACTTTCCAGGATATTTTAGGTGGGTCTTAAATGCAAACCCAAGTCTTATAAGAGCAACACAGAGGGAAATTCGACAACAGAAGGAGAGAAGGGAATGTGTCCATGGAGGCAGAACTGGAGTGATGCAGCCACAGCTTAGGAAAGCAGGGTGAGCCAAAGCTACAGAGACATGGAACAGATTCACCTCTGGAGCCTGCAGAAGGATCATCTCTGCCAACACCTAATTTTTAACTCTGAAAGATTCAATTCAGACTCCTGACTTCTAGAACTGAAAGAAAACACATTTCTGCTTCTTAAAGCCACTAGGTTTATGATCATTTGTTGTAGTGCAGTAAAAAGGAATATATTTTCAGAACTGTTCTGATATTCCCATGTTGGAAAGCACTGGTTAGAATAACCCTTTAGTTTGGGGGAGGTTAACTGTCAAGTAATTGTGCATAATACTTTGTGTATTGGATAGAATTTACTTACTGTCTCAGAGTGACAAGGGATTTGGAGGCAAAGCAGATTTATAATCTTCAGAAGTGTCCAAGGCGTATTAGAATCATTTGATGCCGGGGATTATGGACAGATTTCTCAGGATGATAGTTCTCGAAAGAAGGAGCCAGTACAATTGCATTCTCATTTGGAAATGGGATCATTGAGTCTCTTGAAAGCCAGAGGTTGACCTTTTTACCCTGCAGAGAAAAGCAAAGAAGGGGAACATTCAACTAAGCACTGATATGTGCGAAACTGTGGCATGCACCTGGTTAGATGTTCCAGTTCAGTACCAGAGATCGAAAAACAAACCAAAGTCATAAATTTTCCTTCTAAATGGAATAATGAAACCCAATTGAAATTGTTCTAGGAAGGAGGAGAAGTAGAAGAGGGAGACTAATGGAGGGTGAATCTAAGAGATATTGTAAGCACTAATGTAAATATCACAATGTATCCCCCTGTACAATTACTATATGCTAATAATAAGTTTTTAAAAAGACATTTTCCTTCTGAAATATTTTTATTCAAACTCTAGCCAAAAATTGTAGTGTAAAATAGTACCATTTTGGTAATATGAAAATAAAATTATAACTAAGTAATTATAGAGCATTATCATTTGTTTAAAAATCTTTCTTCTCTTATAGTTTAATAATTCCATGAAAGCAAGTACTGTGCAAACTTTTATTAGCATATATTAGTTGTATAAAGGGGTTTCATTGTGATATTTTTTTTTTTTATTTTTATTTTCTTTTAACTATTCATGTTTTTTTTTTTTCATTTTCCTTTTATTATTCATATGTGCATACAAGGCTTGGTTCATTTCTCCCCCCTGCCCCCACCCCCTCCCTTACCACCCACTCAACCCCCTCCCGCTCACCCCCCTCAATACCCAGCAGACACTATTTTGCCCTTATCTCTAATTTTGTTGTAGAGAGAGTATAAGCAATAATAGGAAGGAACAAGGGGTTTTGCTGGTTGAGATAAGGATAGCTATACAGGGCATTGACTCACATTGATTTCTGTGCGTGGGTGTTACCTTCTAGGTTAATTCTTTTTAATCTAACCTTTTCTCTAGTTCCTGGTCCCCTTTTCCTATTGGCCTCAGTTGCTTTAAGGTATCTGCTTTAGTTTCTCTGCATTAAGGGCAACAAATGCTAGCTAGTTTTTT